TCGGCGTCGTCCATGTTGTTACGAACATTATCACGAGCTCGGTGACGGTGACATCGCTGGCGTTGGCAGCGGCGATTTAATAATTTTTCTGAGACGGATCGCTACGTCCCCCCCTCTCTCACCCCCATCCACTTCCTCACGCATAGCTAGACCGGCGGCTGGCGCGCCGTCGCGTTCTGGATTTGACCCCCGGCTTTGGACGACTGAGGGACTCTATACCCCCCCCCCCCCCACATGCCCGCCGCCGCCTCTCGCGCTCACAAATGGCCTAATTTCCACGCCACGGCAATTACCGCGCGCGTGGCCCTCGCAGCTGCCACGAGCGAGCGGCGCGAATCCCAGCGGCCGCCAGCTGACGGCAGGACAAAGCGCCGAAGCCACCCCCCCCCCCGCCGGATAGTGACACGTGCCCCCGGCTGTTCCCTCCACGTGAGCCCTCCAACTCGCCAGCTCAGCGGGGGGAGGAGGGGGGGGGTCATCAATTTTTTAAACTCTGGGAGGTGGTGGGGTGGGGGGGGTGCAAGTCTGTAGCTGCTGCGAGGCCGCCACGGGATTACGACGGCGAGCGCTTCCAAACCCCGCGAGCGCTCGTCGGTCTTAATCCTCCTCCCCGGGGCGGGGGCACGAGGAGGCTCGTGGGGCGATGGCACGAAGGCAGTGAAGAAGGGCTCAGGGCTCGGATTAAACGTCGTTCTAACGACGACGAGCTCGCGCTCTGCCGTGGTGGCGCGAGGGTGGTGCGTGCGGTTGTCTGCCGGACCATGGCACCCGGCGGGGCCACGCGGCACGGCGGGGCCGCGTTGGTTTACGTAGCGGAGTCATTCGTGCACGTTGCGGCTTCACAATGTGTACAACATGCGTAGTTTTTGACCGGAGACACGGGAAGGCAAATGCAAAGCCGGAAGGTAGACAAGCACAACCTGCATTATGAACAATTTCCCAAGCTTCTGTGGTCTTTCAAAAGATGGGGGGGGGGAGGGGGCGATACCTGCTCTGTATAATCACAAGCAATTTAACTTGCAGGCGATTTTCGAATGGGCCCCACTGTGCCATCTGGTGTGGTTTTTTTTATGCCGGTTGATGCATCAGCACTGATAATCAGGGTGGCCCCGAGATTTGACCCTTGAACCTCCACCACAAGCACGGAACGGGCTACCGCGAGGCCCCGTCCCACCCCCACGAGCCCTCTGAGTGCGCTCACCTCGCCTCTTCCTGCGCTTGCTGTGGGGTTTGCTGTGGGAGTTTTGCCGTGGGGTTTTGCACGTCGACACTTGAGTTTGTTTCAGGGGGAGGGGGTAAAAAAAACCTTTTCGGGGAGGGGGGGTGCATTGGGCTGGGTTCGTTCGTGCTTCAGCGTACAGCAGCCAACGAGGCGATTTTGAATGAGAATCGTACGGAGGTCTGGCGGTCGAGCGGAGATGAGTGCTGAGGGGCGGGTGGTCGACCTGCAGATGTTGAGCGGCGATGCCCAAGTGCGGATGTAAGCGCGGTGATGCATAGACGGGGGTGTAAATGGTGACGTGAAAGGGGAAGATGGTCATGTGAGTGGTGGTGTGTTTTATTACCTGACGGTGGTCATAGGCCCTCCCTCTCTCTCGGCGAGAGGGAGGTCACGTGACTGCTCCGTGTACACCGCCTCTGTTGCTGTGGCGAGCCGCTGGCGCTGCGACCGTGGGTGGAACAGAGGAGGAGCCCTCCGCGATTACCCGTGGCCCGTTTTGTCCAGCAGAGTGCTTTCGCTAACCTCATTTAGGAGGCGGACGTGGCAGCTGAGAGCTCGCCAACAGGCGCGCAGAGTGCAATCGGCTCCGGCCTGCTTGTGTGGGCTTTTAATTAATTGTTAAGCCGCCCAGTTTTTTGGCGACCGCGAGCGTTTCGGCGCGGTTTGACGCCGCCGCCGCCTGCAACGGTGAACTGTGCACGCACACACGGACGCCTCCATGCCTTGATGCGTCTCGAGTCTCTAGGTTTGCCGAGCAAGCGACGATGGGACCTCGGTCATGGACTTAGGGTATCGTTGTTCACAGGTGAAGCACCATTAAAAAAAGAGGAATTTCCTCTGCAACAAGTAAATGATTGGGTATTTTTAACCTATTGTTAATTGAGCACAATAGCTTGCCCCATCCTCTCATACTTCCTCAATTTGATGAACTTGGCTTGACATTTTATTTACCCAACAGTACATTGTGTAGTGGTGGGAAATGTTACCCACTTTTGAAGTTTCCATCTAAACTTTAAAAGAGAGCTTTATTTTTGTTATTTTGTGAACTGGTTTGTAAAGAAAGAACTCCCCTTCATCTGAGCAGTGACAAGCGCGCGCTGTTGATCTCTCCCCGGTTGAGTGGTGACTCACTCGGGAGCTGCTGCATTCATGTTTGGAGTTTTGAAGCCACCCGATCACAGCGAACGACAGCCCGCGGCGCCACTCCGCCCCCCCCATCCCCCCCAGCCACCAAGCGCGGGTGTGTACGGTGGTCCGCAGAGACTTGCTGTGCTGCCATCTCTCGCCAACCTCGCGGCCCAAACCGAATTTCTAGAGCGCTTCGTGGGAATCTACGCGACACCCGCCACCACCAACCCTCGCCTCCAGCGCAGCGCCGAAGCCCCAGAGCGCTCACGGTGGCGGGGCACGGAGCGCCACGATGGCCGCCACGTTGCGTGCCAGCAACCACCGCCGCAACTCTCGCTGGACGTTGGGGAGGTGGGATTTAGGTGGGGGGCGGGGGGGGCGACGCAGTCTCTGGGGCGCTCGGGTTTGATTACACCAAGTCGCCAGCGCATCCGCTTGCTTCCGCCTCCCCGCCTTGGCCTGGCTGAGCCTGGGGGAGGGGAGCGGGGGGCAGAGCGAGTGGTGGGGGGGGGGGGTGAGGCGGAGACCGTGGCGATCATCGCCCACGCCCCCCTCCCTCCGTGGGCATGTTTTGAAGCCGTGGAGGCGACGCAGGGAAACGGGCCGCTGCCGTCGTCTGGGGGTGGCTCGCGGGTGGCTGGGTTGATGGCCCGGCCGACGGCTCGTTGTTGACGGGCCGCGTCTGTGCGAGGTTCGCCGTTGTGCTCTGTCAAGCGGGGGGGCCGACGGTGTAAGTGGGGTGGGCGGGGTGGGCCTCCGCGGGGTCGGGCAGGGTCGGCCGTTGCTGCCGAGCGATGGGGGAATAAGCCCTTCTCGGATGAGAGCAGGAAATTGAATTTGGATGCTTCCCCCCCCCCCCTCCGTTGATCCCCTGTGATCCCTCGCTACAATGCGATGTCCCTTGCTTGAACGCGTTGGTGCGTCGGTTAATTGATGTTGGCCACCGGCCAGAGCGGGCAAGCGGACGGGCGATGCGTATCATGAGTGGATGAAGTGCTGCCCCGTTACCGCCGGTCACCTGCGTGCGCATGTCCCGTCGTGTTTTTTTTGCGGCGTTTGTGCAGCTGAGCGTTGTCTGCGTGAAATGACGGTGTTCCGTGACGACGTTGGGAATATCCAGAACGCCGAGCGGAATTTGCCGTGGCATTGACGGATGGCGTGGAAATCTGAGATTCTGTTAATTACACCGCGTTCTCACGCTTCCCCCCCCCCCGCACCACCCTTTCATCCTGGCCAGGGGTTAGGTGCGCGCCTGTCTGTGCGGTATGCTTGGAAGCTCGCGTGTGGACGCGCGCGTACATGCAGACGTGGACCGGCTCGACGCCTATGGCGCCCGCCCGCCACATTTGCCCGTGTCGGCAAAGATAAATCATCGGTACCGGCTAATGAAAAATTGGTAATATGACCTCTTCCAAACTCTGGTTTCCACTATAAATTACATCATGTGTATCGGATTTTTTTTCCCTGCCCCCCCCACTCCCTCTTCCAAATAAATAAATAAACAGAACAAAAAACCCTTCCCCATTGCCGGCAGCACATCTCGTCTCCAGCGCTGATAACTCACATCTCCCATTTCACCCTCGCCCTCCGCTGCTGTGGCACCGGGTGGCTTCGCCGCTCAGATTCTGAGCGATGTTCTCTATGAACGGGGGGAAAGCCACCGGCGATGTGCTGTGTATCTGTAAAAGCCTGTAAACGAGCCTGCGGTGTTTTTACAAATCATTGATTGTCGGGATGGGCTGCAGGAAAGTGAAGTTGCATTCTGTTGATTGACAGACGCACGAGAGCAGTTTTAATAACCGGTGTTGGAATTATTTTGTGTCGCCACCGAATAAACTGAGTTGCTTGTCGAACCGTGGGTGCAATTCACCAGGCCGAGAGAACGCCGCGGCTCAAATGGCAAAGCTATAAAGTGCAGGTCGTGCGTGAAGCCTCTCCCTCCGCCCGACCCGTGTCCATGTGACCTTCGGCTTTAATTCGCTTCCAGTGATTTTTCAGACGTAACATTATGATCCTGTAAGTTCCCCTGATCGAGCAACTCCGTGGGAACATTTGCGGCTGCAATTTAACGGTTTCTCGCCGTTGACAGCCGAGACCATGGGCAGCGTCTTCCTTCCCGAGCCCGTGAGGCTTTCAGGCTTAACGAGCTGCGCATCGTCTCGGTGTAGATCACGTGTCGGCACATTCAAGCAACGCGATTGTCCCGTGTGGGCGTTTCAGCGTTTTGCTTGGGGCTGCATCAAAGCGTCAGCGGTGTGGGGGGGGAGTGGTCGCGGGTGGTTTTGACCACAACCCTTGTGTGTGTGTGCTATGCTTGCTATAGTTAACGGGGACTTGCCAACAGCTTTTGCCCCAACAGTTTCCAAGGCTGAGAGCTCATTGTATATCCATATCGTGTGTTAATCCTGCTCATTGCTAGAATTGGGCAAAGTAAACTGGTCCTGGGCCTCTCCTAGGTCAACTTGGACTTGAATGAGTACCTGGTGCAGTGTCTAAACATAAGCACTGCGGAGATGAATGTGATCGAGCGTGGTGCTGGCCACAAGAAGCCCCTCGTGTTTTTCCTGGCTTTAATAGGTTGCTAACAGCTCCAGGCCCGACCATTCTTTGAGAATCTAAAGGCGAGGATCTTTGTCTGTGGCACGTGCAGACGAGGAGGTGGTCGTGACGGAGTACGAGGGCAGTGCTGCGGGCCTGGTTCACTCCTTCACCGAGCGCTTTGCCAAGGACGGGGAGCAGCTGGAGGCCGTGCTGCTGGAGCTGTCTCGCCGGGACCAGCACCACTGGAAGCAGCAGCAGTAACGCAGCTGAGTGGCGGCGGCAGCGACGTCCGCGAAACGTCGCGGGCACGAAGATGCAGCGAGGCTCTGCGTGCGTGAACTGCAAGGTGGTGTTGGTTGTTTGGGTTGTGGTGTTGGGTGGGTGCATAGGTGGACAGAGCTGGGCCCAGTGGCTCTGCCTACAAGTTGGTGTACCCAGGCTGCTTGGCCCACGCTGTCCCATGCAATTTGAGGCATCGTTAATGGTTGGGCACTGTCATTGCACTCCAGTGACGCCGGCATTGACATAGTAAAATTCGATTTTTAAAAAGGGCCTTTTTGTGATGTAAACTTCAGCTCAAGTGAGGGATTTCCCGAGGCACGCAGCCAAGGTACATACCTGCAAGAGATGTTTGTTTTTGGATTGCGTCTCCTCCTAACCCCCTCACCACATGATCACAACCATAACTTGATTAAGTAATAATACTGTACTTTAATGTTTCCAAAATTCTCCCGTGAATGCAAAGTGCTTTATGTAAAAAATAAACGACTCTGCAGGGTAACAGACCATGTCTTGGATGTTTCTTTTTGGGTTCACCTTTTCTCAATTTGCACATGCTCAAACGCGCTCCGATTTGGTAACAAGTGGCAAGTTGGTTTCTGCAGAGCGGTTAATAAAACATGAGCTCTGAGGAGTCAAGGGCATGGTACTTGTGAATTAAGATTGTTTTTTGGGCCACGGGACTAAGAATAGACTCCTCACAACTTTCCTGTCTGGGTAATAAAGATTGAGTGGGGGGGGGGGGGATCAACATTTTCAGGGTTTCAAATGCTGCGGTTTGTTGCATATTTAATGACTCAGGCAACGGGAGAAGGCTGTCGGCAAGCAGTGATGTCTTTATTTGGTCTAGCAGAAGGAAAATGGTCTTCCTATCTGATGTTATTGATTAAAAGTTCAGATGCTATCAAAGTTAAGTAGTCGTCGGACCTTAAATCATTCTACAGTACATTACCCACCAATGAAAGGGAGCAGCATTTGATGGGCACTTGCATGCTTGAGTTTAAACGACAGCTTATAACTGTACATCTGAGCTGAGGGCTGTTTTATCCACACGTCCCAGTACCTCCTTATTTACACAACTGGCAAAACCCTCTCATTGACCGCCCCTGACCCCTGCCGCCTGGGTACATGACACCCGCGGTTCCCATGCATGTGTCCAGGCTGCAGAAGACCAAAGGATGTTGTACAAAAATATCTCTCCAGCATTCTCTGATAAGACAACCAACGTGGCACCCGCGCAGTATAAACTCAGGGCTTGGGCCTCCCCCTCCTTGCTGGCAAAGCGGTTACAGGGATGGTGGGATATCCTTACGACCCTTAGTCATCCAGTGGTGGAATTGCAATATGAAAAGGGGCATGTGCTAGTTCCGAGATGTTAGGTAGCGCTAGTAAGCATGCACCGATCACCCTTTAGTCACAAATACTGTCCATCAATGCCAAATTTAAATAAAATGAACAGGTGACTTCTCAAACTAAACTTAAAAACATTCGATTCAAAACCAATACAACACATAACTAATGCGGTCACGTCGGAATAGTTAAGTCTGGGCGTGTGTGCGCGCCTCTAATCTTCGGTTTTGGTACCCATCCTTGGCTTGGTCCAGTGTATTTAAAATCCACCTCTTGCCTCTTTGCGCGAGGTCCCTTAGTCCGACTCATCCAGCAAGTTCAGCTGCCACCGCCGGCCCCGGCGCTGGGGTGGCGTCTGCAGCCGGGTCAATCGACCGGCCCCTGGAAGATGAGCCGCACATAGCCCGGCTCCCCCGACAGCTGCGTGGCGCAGAACGGGCACGCCGTGTGGAAGGCGTGCGTGCCGTGCGGCAGCGGGATCTGCGCCCAGTAGCGCGCCGTCTTCTCGGAGCACACGTGGCCGCAGGGCGTGAGCGCGTGCGTGGGCGCGCCGGCGTCCAGGTAGAAGCCCGGCTCGCAGCCCAGCCACAGCGCCACGTAGGGCCCCACGGTGCGGCACATCGGGCACTCGCGCGCGTCGGCGTCGCCCGCCGTGCGGTGGCCCCAGTCGTGGTGACCGTGCACGTGGCCGCAGCGCAGGTACGCCCACGGCTGCTTCTCCTCGGCGCCGGCCGCGACCACGGCGGCGCCGGCTGCGGCTGCCCCGGCGGCGGAGGACGCGGCGCGCGGGCGCAGGCTCGGGAAGGCGAGCGTGTTGAGGCCGACGGGGCACTGCGGCCGCGCCGCGTTGATCTCCTGGCGCAGCGCCTCGATGTGGCGCGACGTCGGCGTGTGGAAGAGGCCCTCGGCCGTGCGCCACAGCAGCGTGGCGCCGCACAGGTCGATGAGCGAGCCGTCCTGCAGCACGTTGCTCTCCCCCTCCACCTGCGGGGCGCACGCACGCGCCCGGTGTGAGCCGCCGCCGCCGCCCTGTGCCGCCGAGGGGCGAGGGCCCTCCTGGAGGCCGAGCACCATGTGCGATGGGAAGCTCGGCCATCCGGCCTCACGCGGTGTGACGATGTGCGAACGCTCTGTGTCCAAATTGTTTTAACATTTCCTGTTGGGAGTAAAAATGTCCGTGTTATCTGCCACTAAATCTCTGATGTTCATGTTCACTTAATGCCTGACCCAGGGAAATTTACGCAAATATGTCATCTGGGTTTGCGTTGATGTCTGCCGCTCCATCGCACATCCAGGCAAACAGCACGCTCCGCGTTTTGTGTGCAAGTGGCAGCGTCGTTCCTGGTGGCTTGCGGTCACATGATCAGCTTCCTGATCACAGAACTTGAACATCAATGTTCTCACTCGAGACTGGTGGTTGAAAATGCAGCAGACAAGCTGCTCACTTCAAGGGCTGCTCCCTGCTGTGATGACACCACTGTTCTGATGCCAGCATTGGTCTTAATCTCTAAACAAGCAGTTCTCTCTTATTTAGCAATGATGAAACCTGCTCGCAGCTGTAAACACAAACTACTTGTCACCCAGTGTTCTGGGCCAACTATGGTAGCCATGCTCCAGTTTAAAGACCTAAAAAGTCGTCGTTGCTAGCACTGTTGAAGCAATATACAGAGTTTGATTCAAAGGGGGAGAAGGTGAGCAGGGAGGGGGAGAGAAAACACGTTCCAGCGTAAGTGGGTAATTACAAATGTGTACGCGATTACAGATTTGCTAATGCAATTACATAGCAATGGGCAATCCTGCTTGCTGCAGAAAATGTCAATTCTTATGCAAGCCACATCTAGCGTCTCCTGTACACACTCGCGCAAATTAAATCGTTCCAGCATCACAGGGAGAAACCAATTATTTTCATAAAAAAGCAAGTTATTCTCCGTCCGATATTGATGCCTCGCCTGGCTCAGCAAGGCTTTGAATGTCAATAGGCAGGGGGTCCCCTGTCCCCTCCCCCCGGTTAGCGCTGCCATCACTACCGGCCAGAGCCGCTAAGCCCCGGCCCAACCGCCACGAGAGCCACGGTAAAACCGTACAGCACCCCACCTGGAACAAAAAATAATAATAAAGGTATTTGGAAACACCCACTCATCTGTCTCTGGAACCGCCAAGCTGCTTTACACATTGTGCTCGTTTGCCACGAGAGCACGCCGAAGCTTCCTTGCCGTTCTATTGAAGGCGAAATCGCGCTGCCAAGTCTCCCTGGCAGTCCATGCTCCCCCCCCCCCCCCCCCCCAACATAACGTCAAAATGGTCACAGACGCGCCCCACCACCTTTGTTACCCGCCACGTAAAAGCGGCTCCCACTGTCCGGCACGGCCTGCGCCTGCCGGTCGCTCCGTGTGCCTTCCTGCGTCCGTTCGCAGCGACACAAAGCGCAGTTTTTTCCACGCACTTGAAAAAGCAGCAAGCAGTTTGTGCGTGCGCGAGTTTTTTTTATGGCTGCTGAAAAGGCCAGCACTGAGAACTGCCACGGGCCAGCGAGCTGCCACTTTCGGCGAGAGAATAAGTCGTAATCTGGCAACATTGGCTGCCTTCAACAGCGCTATAAACTCGTAATTTCGTTACCTCGGTGGCCGGCAATTTACACGGCTGGCTGGGTGCGCGCCACTGCCTGTAAGTGGGGGCACCGCTTGTGCTGCGCCGACTGCCATCTGCCTCTCCATCGCATCCTGTCGGCTCTCCCGAGCAGGACCGACAGCCCGCCCGCCCCATTTGCCTCTTTCATTTGACTCTACCCCACCACAAGCACCCTTTATTCATGCCTGTAAAAATATTAAAAGAGGCATGCGCATGAACCAGCACTAATCAGCTCCGGCCGATGGATCTGCGGTTTGTTAGCGATGCCAATGGCGGCTTGAGAGAATCCAGTGCCGACCACCCCACCGCCCCCCACACAACTTCAGCCGGGCACACAGAGCCTCAATCAAAAGCTCTTCACAACACTAAAGATAAAGTAATGGAAGGTGTACATCGGTAATTCTCCGTCTTATAAAACTTACAGCGGCCGTTAAAAATGTCAAGTGGCCAGCCACTTTGGAGCAATATTCATAAATCATTCTCAACCCTGCCACTACGGCCATTATCCCCAGGCCGATTGATCCTGCAGTCAGCAGCATCGGCTGTAAAACTAAAAAGGGAAGAATAATCCTCGGGCAGCATCGACGACCACCCCATGCGTGCGTGTGGAGAGCGAGCGGTGTTTTTTGAGCGAGGCCTCCGCTTCACAAAAGTGGTACTATTTATCAAGGGCAGGCAGAGAAGGGGGGGGGGGGGCAGCAACCGAGTTCTGTAACTAGCCAGCACATTTAAAATTGCTTTGGCCGGCACTACCGCTGCACTTGGGCTGTTTATAGTGTGCGGCAAATCGATACTTGACTTGTGTTCAATAGGCACTGTAATGAAAAAGTGTCAGAATGTAACGGCTGCGTTGCGCTGGGCGGGCAGGTAAGGAGACTGGGTGTTCAGGGAGGTCAGGCGGGCGCGACGTTTGTGTGCGTGTGTGTGGGGGGACGAGAAGCCTCAAGGACTCGGGTCTCGCGGTAGACTGTGGCGTGAGTAACGGAGCGTTGCCGTTCGTCTTGTCGGTTATTTACAGCCGAGAATATTACAAAATGCACAGTTGTAAAATAAACCTACTTTTTATAAGTGCAATAAATTAATTCACGAGACAATGGTCTCTTCTTTAGCTACATTTGACATTCACCTGTCGCGCGCACGCTCACACGCACACCCGAGCGCCACCCCCTGCTCTTTTCCCTGACATCGAAGTTAATTTTCCCTCTCGCCCTGGGTCAATCTGATTCTCTTTCCAGTGCCTTGAACTTTACTGCTAATGAGCATCACGCAGATGGTGACCTTATCATTGGAAAATTCCCACTCCCTTTGCGAATAAAAATTTACACCAAAAAAATTACATTGGAATGAATTCAACTCCAATTGTGCTGGATGGAAATCGGGAGCGAGTGTCAAACCGCTCGTCGTACGACTTGGGGTCGTTCCATGCGAGGAACAACACAAGAACCGCCTCCTTGTACACCGCGCACTGGCAACGTGCTTCTTACTCTCGGAATTAACAACAATTGCTGCGATTGCTTCCCCGCTGCACGTACCCACGCACGCACGCAGGCACGTGCAGCCGTCGCGCTCGTTACACACAAAGTGCACGCCACACGTGAACCACGATACCCTCGCTGTGCTCGTCAAGGAGCATAAACCATCAACCACGCAAACTCCGGTCACCGTCGCAGCAGCAGCAGCTTTTGGCTGGCCATCGAAAAAAGACGGTCAACGCATCGCGCGCTTTCAGACACTCTTCTGTGGCCGTCTGGAACGCTCTTCCGATATTAGGAAACCACCAGAGCTGTGCACTTTTAAAGAATCTAGATTGAAAACTAATTTCTTTACAACTGCTTATTGTTGTGTTTACTTTGTTGTCCCCTTTCCTGCACTTCCAACTCGCGCTGTTGGCTAAGTACGGTACGCGAAAGCAGTTCAAAACAAAGACAAAGATCCCCTGCGTAGCCTTAACAGACCCTTGGGGCAAGCGCTGTTAGCGAGTAGCACCGATTAAGGCCGGCACGGCAGACGAGGGGGTGGGTCGCCAGCCCCCTTTGTCTCCCCAGTAGCGATGTTTACACACCGCACCATTTGAGGCCGAGTAGACCTAGGGGATGCCTTGGACCAGTTCAGATATTCGTCACCGGTGTTGGCCGTGAGCAGGAATCGAACTCGGGTCGCCAGGTTCGTAGGTTCGTGGGTTAGCAGGCATGCACGCGCGCTTGCCGGCGCTCCACTCACCAGCTTGCCGCGCTGCTGAGCGGAGCGCGTCTCGCGCAGCGTGTACACGTTGCCGCACACGGAGATCTCGCGCCACACGCCGGGGCGCGACTCGTCGGTGAAGCCGCCGCGAGGGTGCATCACCAGGATGCCGTTGGTGGTCAGGCCGTCCATGTGGCCGTCCGGGTTCTTCCACTTGGCCGCCTTTTCCTGCACAACAAATAGGCGCGGGCGTACTACAACAACAACCGCCATTCGCCACTAAGTGGCGGTGACGTCACCACGACGCTTATGCGGACGTACACGCACGCACACGTACACACACGTACACACACGGTCACAAACGAGGTGTGCAGTGATTTTTCCTCCTCACCGTTGGCTCAATCGTCGTAATGTGATTTTAGAAACGGTTACGATTTGTTGACGAGAGTGAACGCAGTTTCTACGGCGGATTTGTTAACCTTGTGTTGCTCTCCGTAGCGCCGACTCCAATCCCTCTACAAGATTGGTGCAAGTCTAGAATCAAACCAACGTACCTTTCACACGCCTTTACACGTGGACATGTATTGTGTGTACGTTGGGAGCTCACCAGAATTACAAGGATAAACTGCCATGTAGGCTGTAATCATGCCAAGTCATCAATTGTACGCAAATCATGTTTTCATTCATAAACTCTTCGGTTCATAAATTAAAACGCGTTGGCTTACAGACTACATAATTGGACAGCGGCTTGATTTGCATGTGTGGGGCTGGCATAAAGGTTCATTTATGTAACATTCCTGAGTGTCGCTGGTGGGAGGGGGGGGTAGTGGAGGGGGGGGTGATGGGGGACTGGGAAGAGGGCCCCTATTGTTGGCAGTATCTCTTGTCCGGACGCAGCAGCAGCAGTGAGCCCAGCACTGTATCAGCCCACGCAGATTAGCATCAAGAATGCGTGCCGAGTCTCAGCGCGTGCCACGTGCACATCTGGACAACAAAACTCCCAGTGTTTGACTTGAATTATTTAAAAGTAACGCTCTCATTTCTTTAAAAGTTTGAATTTTTTTTAAGAACTGGCCTAAATCACCCAAATTGACTCGCGTAACCCTGTATATGCACACGAGGGGAAAAACCTGAAAGGCTTTCGATCCAACGTTACACAATTATGATGTTTGCTTAACGACGTAATCCTTTCGCGATCAAGATCCATCGCCAGGCGTACGTCGTGCAGCGTAATTCGCGACGTCGAGCGGCCAAATCTGCATCGTAGGCATCTTTGCACCGACGCCCGTCGGTGGGGTTGCCAAAGCATCGTCTATTTTTAGAAAAGCGTTTTTATTTCTCGGGCGAAGAGCGAGCGGGCGAGTGGCAGCCCCCGACGACGTCCCAACCGCAAGGTGGCGGGCGGGTTGTGAAGGCCGAGAAGGCCGGAGCGGTAACGCACGCCCAGGAAGATGTTCTTGGAGGTGTCGAAGCCCGCGGCGAAGATGCGCGCCGTGTAGGGCGCCGTGCGCTGGCACTTGATGCGGCAGGCAAAGCGCGAGATGGTGCTCTGCGTGATCTGCGTCTCGTCGCTGCTCTGGCTGCCCGGCACCGTGTCCATCACCACAAAATCAATCGGGCTCTCGGTCGAGCGGCCAATCTGCACCACGGGCACGCGCGGACGGAGCACGCGCGCAGGTTAGGACGCGCCCCGCACGACACGCGCGCGTGTGGTGGCGTACGCCGACAGCGAGCGCGGAGATGTCGCACGTCGGAAGCTAAGCAGGTTTTGAGCCTGGATAGTGCTTGGATGGGCGACCGCCGTGCACCAAACAGGTGCTGTAGGCTGCCGCACTGTGGCTGGTAAATCATGGGACAGTGCAGCAAAATCTATTTGTGTACTGTACTGTTCATTCTTCCACACATCCATGCTCCCCGCCTTTACCAACCCTCGCCGACCAGCGGGGTGAAGCAAGGCCAAATAGCTGCCACGAGCCACACGATGCGGAGAGGCCATCATCCTCTCTGCACGCGTCTCCCGAGCCACTCGCTCTCCCGTGGGCCTCAATCGTACATCTGTGAAAAAAAACGCGTAGCGCACGGCGGGCGCGCGGCGCACTGTGCGCAAGGACTGCTGTGGTGGTTGTGGAGACTCGGGTGGCACTGCACATTTTCACGCAGCGCCCACGCCTGTGAAGGAGGAGGAAGTAACACCTCAATTCCTGTTAACGGACGCACACACGCACACGCGCGTCCTCACCGCGTTCCGTGGCCGCATTTACACGAACCCTAAACAGAGAATTGGACAAATATCCCAACGCAGGACACTTCTGCCAGTGGCTCTGTGGGGCATTTTTGTTTTCTGGGGCAAGCGACGTCAGCACCAGGTTTACCCTGTAAAACTATATATTTCCAGAGAAATATAAACATTCGTACGAGTAAATGTGATACGACGTTCGCCAAAGTCATTGCAAAAATGCAATGTGTTTTGTGCGGTTTTGAAGCGACTAATTGAACATGATGTTGAGCCACTTGAAACCAAACTGGACTGCAAAAGTTGCAGGATGACGCGAGCGTGATGCTGCGGTCGTGCAGCGCTCAAGGGCCCTGCGGCTCCAGCAGACCCGGTGAGCTCAACGCGGGGAAACGGCTACGCGCGTCCGGCCTTTGACGCAGTAAACAATGGCTCTGCATGTGCGTGCGTGTGTGCGTGCGCGTGAATGTGTGGGAAGATGAGTGCGTGTGTGTGCGTGTGTTCTAAGGAACGGTGGTGCGATGGATGAGTGCGCTGTGAACCCATTTCGACGAGTTAAATGCCCAAACGTGGATATTATCACTGGAATCAAAGTATGGGAACCTGTGCTCGACCCACCCTAGTAGCTTGACTGCACCTTAAAGTGTAATAATATATCAAATGTATAATTGCGCATTCCATCCTAGGATCCCAATGCACAATGCATGGAAAGCAGTGAAACAACAACACAACCAGTAGGGCAACCGACCAAACGAAAGAGGCAAGGCCATCTTAAAGAGATGGGTTTTCAAAGCAGACTTAAACATATCTACTGACTGATCGCCTGATTTCAAGTGGCAAGGAGTTCCATAGCTTGGGTGCCACGCTAACAAAAGCCCGATCACCAAAAGTGCAAACCTATAGACCAGGGAGGTCTGAGCAGTTGGACATCAGAACATCTTAAGGACCTTGATGGAATATATAAATGCAAGTAATATGAGGTGAGCCCCTTTAAAAGCCTTAGAGGTTAATAGCAGTATCTTAAAATATAGTTGGATTTTGACCGGTAGCCAATGAAGGGATAAGAGGAGCTGTGTGATGTGCTCACGTCGGCGCTGCACGAGGTGTGAGCACTCGGGCAGCTGCATTCTGAACGAGCTGGAGTCTGCCCAGTACTTTGCTTGGAATCTCAACCAGTGAGGCCTTGCAGTGATCGAGTCGGGACAACACAAAAGCATGGACCGGTCTCTCCAAGTCAGCAGGTGACAGGAAGTGATGCATTCTGCCATTATTTCTTCAGTGGATAAAGGACATTTCAACCACCTTAGATAGATGTGCCTCAAAAGATAACGAGCGGTCAAACTGAACACCGAGTAAACATCACAACTGTGGCATGGTGCTCGTCGCCCACTCGTTACTCGCGAACAGCAACTACCCCAACGGCCTGGACGGATAAACGAGGGAGCTTTGTGTATGTGCGAGTGAAACCAAGACGAGCCATGACATCACCAGGGCACACAAAACCCACATTGTCCGAATTTGCGCGGCACGCCGCGGATGTTGCCGCTGGTGGAAATTTTGACGTCAAGCGAGAGGGTTATTCGCCTAATCCATTAGCTTGTGAAGCCCACGCTCGTATACATACACACACGCGAGCAGTGTAGGGATGACGCTATTAACTATTTACATGATTGATTACGCCGCGTAAAGGCCGCGTGTTCATCAGGCGCGTGCCACGACGCCCGCTCGCAGACAGCAGCACTGCCGGGGGGGGGTCCTCCGTGGCATGGCTTCAGTGCTGTTGATGCTGCTGCTGCTGCTGCTGCTGCCGCCCGTTTGATCTCGGGCGTGGAACAAGTGGCTGCACCGCGGGAGCTACGGCGGCGTCGTCACCGCGACCAAAGCCAGGCGCAAGCGCGGCGCAGCCAGCCAGGTCGCTCATGGGATCTAAAGGGTGACAGCCCCCCCCCCACCCCAATTAGCCTAAGAGGCCAAAACTCAAACACGCGAATGGCACAGAGCGAAAGATTTGGCGCGCGCGGCAACAATAGGGAGAAGCTGAGGGAGTGCGCACGCACGCACCTACGCGGCGCACACTCCAAAGAGAAGTACCAAATGACCGCTTTGATAGAAGATAAAAACAATAAATAAATAAATATACACGCGTGTCAAGGACTCAACTCGAAAGCCATGAGAGGTATGACACCACCGTCTCCGCTCCCCTCCCCCGCACGACCAACAAAATAAAACTACAGCTATCAGCGTTCAACGAGAACTTAACTGCAGACGATTAATTTTTACGTTACTTTTGCACGCCTTGTTTTCGAAAGCGGAGAAATAGAATGCACGTACAGTAGACCTGCAACGATTTGGCCCCTTGCGAGTTAATTCTCACGATCCGCTGTAGTGATTCCATTCCAGACGCTATTATTTGCTAACATTTAGTGCACCCCTAACACAACTACTGTAAACAATAAAACCTCACGTGCGCGATTCGATGCATTTAACACGGGTGCAAGAATCTATTTTAATCGACGACCCGGTTTCGTCAGTTATGCCGCTAAAGTGAACCGCGCACCCCGGCACCTCCCCACACCCCACGCGCGCACGCAACGATAAAATGACGGGCTCCTGCCGCCGCGTCCACCGACACTGACAAACACCGCTGCCAGAGGCACGACGAAAAAAATGCCGTCTCTGGAGAAGATCCCTCCACCGCCGCCATTGTGGCGTGACGGATACTCATCCAGACAGAACCAGTCCCACTCGGCCACAACCGCACGCTCGCTCGCTCTACAATATCATCCTTCGCTAAAGCAGCTGACAGGTGCCCAGCGTCCAAGGTATCTTAACAAATGTCTGCAACATGCCCACCCCCCTCTCCCCATCCTCCCTCACGAGGACGCCCTTAAAATTAGTGCCGTTCTAACACGTGCCGCCATCCTGCCGAAGAAGAAACACGGCGCCAGAGAATTCCTTCTCACTCTGCCACCGGTGTTTCCGCGCATTAAAACTGTCTGCGCGCGTCGTAGGGTGATCATTTCTGAAAAGTTCAAATCAAGCTGCGGTGATTTCCCCTACCGGGCAAATCAAGTCAAGCTCCAAAAAAAATGGAGCGCACGCAACGTAGTGAGAGCTTTACCTGCACGCAACCTGCATGCCAGCAACGTTTCGGGGGTTTGTTTTTTTACAACCTATTCTCCACTCACATTTCCACACAAAAAATACAGTCTAAAAGGGCCGTGTTTTTTTATAATGAATTCTGTAAAACGCTGCCTCCATATATTTCAGAGTCGCTGTGGCGGAGGCAAACGGAAGCGAGATGTGCGCTGGGGCGGCCTGGGATGCGTCACCGGCGTCGTCTGCGCGTCGGGTGGCAAACGCAGACATGAAGAGGAGCGTGCGGTGAACGCGGGCACGGCAAGCCATCGGTTAGGGAAACCGGAACGCATAATTTTTTAAGTTTGTGCGGAAACAGCCCTATTCGACTCCTCTAAATGTAAATGCGTTTTTTTTACAAACGTGAATCGGCTGTAAAAATGGCACTTTAATAGCAAAGGCACTGTGGCGGGTCGAGCGAAGGGAGAGTGAAAAGGGCACGAGTGGGGGACGTGGGGGCCCTGACAGCACCTCGCGCCGCCCTCCACGAGGTCTGACGCACGAATCGCATCGGCGAAGTCTCGGCACACGGTGCTCCGGCCAGTGAAAAATTGCACTATTTTACAGGAAGCCTGCACACCATATACGCACGCGTGCGTACATACGTGCGTGCGTGCGTACGCCCGACACGTAATTGTGGGCGTGTGAAGCACGCACCAAGGGTGCGGAATAATGCGTGCAACAGCACCCGTTTCTGAAATTGAGAGACCGGCACAAAATGAGAGGGTGCAACAATGCTATACAAGTAATGAAAAGCAAAGGAGTAAATAAAATCTATGAAATAGCAAAGATTATGTCTGCGGGTGGAGAGGAGGAGGACAAGGAAAAATTGCGGCTGCATTGTTCCAGCAGTTTACTGTTATTTATGGCAATAACCAAGAATAAAATAACAGCCCACTTTTGTGGAACAGACAATAAGGGTGCTTTGTAACTGCCAAAACGCCGCTATCTCGTTAAAAAACACTTCAAAGCAGAAAAAGCACAATTACATTTTCTGAACACTGGCGGCGGCACACGCTCGAGGAACGGAGCACATTGCGCCTGAATTTTAAGGCAGATCTCTTCTGCATTCTCAAATCGACTTTTCACGGAAAACAAGATAAAGCATCGCAGCACTCGCTAGAAAAACACAACGACGAGGTAGACAAAGCGGCACGGCGTGCGAAGCCAAATCCCCAGCACGCCAGATTGTGAGATCCAAAACACGTTTGGAAACGAGGCAAGCAATTTGCGAATTTAAGTCAGCCATGCAACCCTGCTCGGATAACTTTAGACGTCCTCTAAAATGCACCGCAATCGCCACCAGGCTTTCTGAGCAACGCTCTCCTGGTTTAGGCACGCGCCATTTCCCCACCCAATCGCTTGGCATGGGCCAGCCGAGTTGAAAACCAAAAAAGCACCCGTGGAATTGTTCCAAATCGCAGGAGGTCACCGGATTTGTCCATCTGCAGGCCTCTGCCAATGAGATTGCCTAGGATCTGCGGTCACGGGATTCCAAAGAGGCTGGCGGGCAGCAGGAACGCGTGCACTGGAGAGCCGCGACACGGTACTCGACCGTGGAAATAGTGTCTGGTCACAGGGCAAACCCGCAGTTGCAATGATTCACGGGCATCCTCCCTGGAAGCACGCCGCAGAAATCGAAAGAATTCGCATTTCGTTTGCGAGCGAAAGCCATCGTCGCCCGCGCGTGGTTATCGATCGGCTGTCCGTCACGTCGGAGCCGATTCCATCAGGGGGCCGGGTCTCCCTGCCGCAGGGGCCACGCGCACAATGTGCCGGGGATGGCGGTGGCTTTGCAGGGAAATTCCCACGGCTCTTTTGGCAAGCGCCCGGCAGCCCACGAACAAGAACCAGCTTCACAAGGAGCTAGCTAGAATGCCACAGGGTAAAAATTCTAAAATAACATGAACTACTGCCACACCAGACCTGGAGAATACCGGTTCAAATTCCACACACACACACACTTAAAAAACGAGCGTGCCATCAGATTAATCGGTGTTTAAATAATGAATCAAAGGACTGCGTAAGGGTCCACGCCGTGTGTGCAGAAACTCTGTGTCACGGGCTAACGACGACGAGAGAAAGCGATGTTACCAAAAAAAAAAAACATCCCCCACGCTGCACAGCGGCCCCAGAAAAAAAAAGTGTAATCCTGCGAGCAGATTTTTCTAAAATCTATGTTTCGTTGAGCTAAGGAAAAAAATAACGGAATCGTTATTCAGGTCTCCAAAGGCCGCAACAACACCGTGGGGGTTGACTTCACGTGGGGTCCACGATCAAATGTCGAGGCGGCAAATCGAATCCATCGCGGGACCACACTCCGACACGGCAGCAATTCTCAACCACAGTCAGCCCGAGCGGCAACCAGAGGGAAAAATGCATCCCCCACAAACGTGGTGGTTAAGTGTGTATACTACAAACACATTCACAGATCCTGATCGTCATCAGCGGTGTATCGGCGGTGCAGTGCAACTCGGCTGCCTCGTGTTCTTTCCCATTTTGACAACCGCCGTTATTTTTTCAACAGATTTAATTGACTACATTCGCACGGTTGCCAGCGCACAAATTATTAATGCCAGCTGCAAACGTTGTATTAAGTACAACACGTAGCAGCTATAAAGTGTGCGCACATGCACAACATACAGTGCGCAGTATGTTTTTTTGTGTTTTTACTTTTTAATGATGTGCTGCAAAAGACGCTCACAGCACAGGGCTACACATTCTTGTGAGGGAAAGGCAGCGAGCGTTTATGATGTTAATGCGCAGCCCAGGGCAACGCACAGTTGTTGTGGATTTGCGGACGTCCTGATTGCTCCTCGTGAGCCACAAATATTTAATTTCGGGGTTTTTTTTTTAACAACACAATCATTAAATTTAAATTAGAAAATTCTGCCTAACGAATGGAAGGGGCTCACGTTGAAAAGTTTAGCAAATGCACCCCCCCCCTCCCCCACCGCTCTGGCACCAAGTTCCATACGACTAACGTTGCATTGATTTTCAATGTCACGCGAGCGATCCGAGCGACAAAGCTCGGCACGGGTTTGGGCATCGCGGCTCTTAGCCCTGTCGCCCGGCACCGTCAATGTTTGCGTCCATCGCTTGCCAGAGCCGATTGCCATTGCCGAAAGTCATTGACTCTCGCCGCTGATGCACTTGTGCCGGGCCTTCAGGCGAAGACAGCAACGACCCCGCAGAGCCGACGGCTCTTACTTTGCAGACGCACGCCTAGGCCGTGCGACCCAGGCTTCTCCGACGGAGAGCACTGAAAGACATTCGCGTCACCGGGAGACGACGCGCCCTATGTCACGTCATGGCCGTTTCTCGATTCATTGATACAACGGTGACATCGCGGCACTAAAGCGACGCACTGCCGATTCTCAAAAAACATTTTCTCGCCGTATAAAAGGCGTTTCCCGTAAGCGACATTGGCACCCGCGGCTACGGTCTCAAGAACAAAGCTTCCTGCTCAGCGTAGGACACACAGCCTGGGTGCTTCTCTGCAAGGGGCTGTTTGTTTGTTTTGGGTTGCAACTTCCGCCGAGTCGAGCTGCGTGCGCGCGAGGCAGCGAATGGCCGCGTTGTCGCACGTAACACCGGGACGGTGGTGAGCACGGCGCACCGTAGCCAACGCCTCCGCGCCGCCGGCAGGGCACTGCGGCATTTCCGAGCGGCGCGATGGTGCCAGTCGCTGTGGGTGGCACCCGTGTCGGCGGATCAGGTGACCTGCAGCCCCGACTGGGAGTCGGCGCCGAGGGCTCCGGCTAAGAGCGAGAGGCTAAAAAGTGAACGGCTCAGCGCTGCCGGATTACGGCTGCAGTCAAGGGTTACAGTTTGACAGTCAAGGTTATTCGTTTGAATTAGGGGCTAACGGTTTCTCGACTGAATGACCACTCGGAGTGATATAATGTCCTGGCAAACGCCTTTTGTTTTAATGATAGTGACAGGTTATTTAATTAGGACCTCACACTTATAGAGAGAACACTCAACACGCACACACAGATGGATCAGGAACCCACTTTCTGTACTGCATTTCTCCTGGCCACCTCGCAGTCCACTGGGGGTCTTGCAGAACACGATCTTCACATGATCCAATGACCCGACCTCCAACACTCTCTCCATTACAAGCGGGTGCATGCCACACATGCGTTAGAAGTTAATGTTAGCAGCTACAGGCGGGGGCCAAAGTGTGTGCTGTTAAAACAGCCTGTGTTGGGTCATGGGTCATGAACCGCACATTGAGGTCGTGCGCGTGTGTGCGCGTGTGTGCGCGTGTGTGCGTAGTGCTCTTGTGGGGTGCGATCGTGTAGCGGTTAGCGCTACGCTGCGCTATGAACCCGGCAACCCGAGTTCGATTCTCGCTCACGACCAACACCAGTGACGATTATTTGAAATGGTTGTGAGCCTCCCCTGGGTCGACTCAGCTTCAAATGAGTACGTGGTGTGGTGTGTAATCATCGCCACTGGGGAGATAAATGCGGTTGGGCGTGGTGTTGGCCACCCACCCCCTCGTGTGCGGCTCTGGCTCACTAGCAGCACTTGCCCCTACCGTCTGTCAAGGCTATAAGGGGGTGATCTCTATATTTATAGTGGTAGTGTAGGGGTTAGCCACACTGCGCTACGAACATGGCGGTCTGCAGTCGATTCACAGCAATAGAGAGCATTAGTGACGAATTATATCAGAACAGGTCGTCCCCGTGTTGAATGATTACCTGATGCGGTGTTTCAACACACAGCGATGGGGAGCCTACGACGCCCGCCGTGCAACTGGCTACACTAACCCCCTTGCGCCAACAGTCAACGCAGGCTGCACGGGGGATCTTTGTCTTTGCGGTGGCGGAGTTGGCGGGGGTGCAATCACCTGGAACATGTCGGTGTCGGCGTCGTGCGTGTACTCCACCACGACGGTGTGGTTGCGTGACAGCGTGTACGAGATGCTGTGCTGCTCCTTGCTGCTCACCGCCTGTGTGGTGGCGGGGGCAGAGGGGAGCGAGGGTGGAAAGGGGAGGAGAGGGGGCGAGGGGAGAGGGTGAGAGACACGCACATGAGCTCACAACAGGTGTCAAACGGCAGCCTTCAGCACCATCGCCACAGTGTGAACAAACATCGAGCTGCAGCCTCTGCCGAACATCCATCAGTTGCCCGACTCGTCAAGGGCGCTCACGTTCCGCCGGAGAGCCGAGGGCTGGGAGGGGTAATCCGTCTCGCATCCCAGGAGGACACGGCTGGTAGCAGTAGGGGTTGACTGGGACGGCCAGAATCAAAGGCTACTCCAGAAGCTATTTAATATCGTGCTGTTAATACGATTAAGAGCAGTGCAATGGGTAGAGATGAATTGAGGCACGTTTAATATTTTTATTTGCGGGTGGTAAAGTGTGAAGAATTTTAAGCCACGCGCACATTAATCCAACCGGTTTGGCCGTGCAACAGCACTGCTGTATTTACGAATCTGAAAACGATGCTAATGGTGCGCGCGGCTGCATAGCGCACACCTATTTCCACCGTAGTTATGATTTTCTTGGAACAGGCTTTGACGAGCCACGGCAATTAAAGCTGATTGTGGCTTTTTGGCCCAGACAGATCTCACGCTCGCAATGCGTCGAGCAAAGCGTGGCTGTGGTTCAACAAAGTATTTGTTTCGGGCAGCCGTGTGACAGTTCAGCCTTAAAATAAATACATCGAAGCTATTTCTGCTGGTCCTAAAGCGGCTATTCTGAACGTATGAACGACGCTGCCAACGGCTTCCTGGGGAAGGGGAGAGTTGGGGGGGGGGGTTCGTGAAAATCGTGAGACCCCCCCCCAATACTCCCCCCATCTAAAGTACCCGCGACCACCCACGTGCTCGTGTCTTCCAGAGGAGGCGAAACTCTCTCCCACCCCCACCCCCTCCTCTCTCGCCTCTCCACACGCTGCAAACCCCCCACCCCACAATCCACGCGGCGGCTTCTGGAGCCCTCCGAGAGCGACATTTAATAACGGGGTGGATACAAACGCAGACCGAAACGCCACACGAGCAAGACGCGCTCGAAACGAACGGCGCGACGCCTCGCCAAAAGGCTTTGCTGAACCAAACACGTAGGCCATGTTTATAGACTCGCGTACGAGTGATATTTGTCAAACATTTTGTCAAGAAAGGTGGACGATTTGGCCTACTCGCCCGTGGTCGGGTATTTGGGTTAGTGAGCGTTGGCAGCCAACAACCCGGTACACAGGCGACAAGTGGAAAAACGATGTGAACGCCGTTGGGGCGAGCTTTATTAATTACACATGTCCTCGCCTGTTGCCACAAAAATTTAGAGCGTTCCCTTAAATGATTGTTTAACCATCGATTTTAATCAAGCTCTGGGAACAATACGCGGCATAAGTTGCTCCAGCAGGTCGAACGCTTTTAGCTCACGAGAACCCATTCATCGTTAAACATGTGACTCAACTGTACGGCAACTGTAATCCAGCCACAGAGCTGAGCTAAGCTATGGTGTCCTTGCGTAATGGGGAAACCGAATGTGGCACAGACTGCCATTGAACTCAAATAGCAAGGCTTCGTTTAAAATATTTACATAACATTTTTTTTATTTGGTATCTTTTACCGCGAGGCACCGCTCAGTCTTACGGTCGATTCACCCCACTTATTTGATATCGCGAGGTCGCCGCGGCTGCCGAAACAATTAAAATGGCGCAAAAAATAGGCACGAAGATGCGCGTTGATCGCGCACTCCGGCTAAAAATACAAAGGCTTCAATTAACAGTCGCAACTAGGAGAAGGGGGAAAAAAATCGACGATAACTAAAAACAGCACAGCACGTGTGGCCAGGAGGGGCGGGGGGGGGGGGAGACGCGGAGAGGGGGGGCGAGCGCGCAGGGAGGCGGCGTTTATCGGAGGGTGCTGCGTACTGGGATTCCACGAGGGGCGTGGGAAACATTCGCTTGGTAAATAAAAATAGATTTCAAAGCTGCGGAGTGGGGAGCACTGACGGGGCTGGAAGTCGGAGATGTAATTGCTCGCCTGAGCCACAGCGACAGGCGATTAACCCCTCCCTCGCTCACAGCCACCGAGAGCCTCGCGAGGGAGGGCAGGAGGATGCAGGAGTCACCCCGGCGTGTCTCCTGCTTCGGGCCGCTGCTTTGCGGCCACCCGGCCGCTGTGACGCAGCGCCGGCTGAGAAAGTTCGCTGCTACGCAAGAGCCGGGGCTCCGACCGAGTCTTGATAAACAATTGTCCCGGCACAGTTTTAGCACCGCAGCAGCAAAGGCTGAGAGGCATGCGGAATGTTTAAAGGAAGCTTTCAGTGAGCACGAGGCAACATACCTGATGCGCTCAAATAATTATTGCTTAAAAATAATTATTCCACGTGATTTTTTCAAATGTATGTTTAGGTTAAAGCTTTGCCATATGTTCTGCTGCATGTGTAATGATTTTTTTACTATCATCCCAGTGCCCCCTTAAAATCACATTCTGTACTCTGCTGCTAAAAGAATCAATTTCAATTAAATCTGTTTTTGTACAAAAAAATACCGTTTGCCAAATTCTGAACTAAATGCTGTAGGTTTAGTACAAAACCAAAATTCGTATCTAAATTATTTATGCTCTCTCCTTACAGGCACTGTAACGAGCAAAATCAAAAGCTTATGTCGACCAAAAACATAATTTGCGAGATACTTTGTGCTTTGAAGATTAAACAAAAAGGTGAAAATTCGAGGACTGTGCACGGCAGAGAGAGAGAGAGCCCAACACCGATCGTCGCTCGCACAACACAGCGGAGCCATCGCTGGAATGTTCGTCGCAACGTGCACGGGGGGCCAGTGCAGCGGGGGACAGCTCAAACGTGGCGAGGCTTTCACCTGCTCCGAACCAAACCTCACCTCTGCTGCCCGCTAAACATCTCCTCAGAAGGGTTGACGCACACGCGGTGAGAACGACGCACGCTTTTAGCAACGTCGCGGGTTGTTTTTTTTTGGGGGGGGGGGGGGGAGGTTGGTGGATCACGGGCCCACGAGGCGCCCGCCGCTGCCACTCCGTCACGTCTCAAGCTGATCCTTGGTGCCAACTCGCGCTCAAAACGACAGCGTATCCATTTAACGATTAAAATAGCGGTAGCCGCCCCCACCCCGCCCGCCCGCACTCACGTGCACCGACCATCCGCCATCTCGACTCCGTGACATTTCTATCCGAGCCATACAACGGAGGGTTGCGGACACCCCCCGGTGGTCTCGCGAGCTGCCCCGACGCCATTCTCCCCCCCTACCCAGGTGACGAGGAAGAAGAATGGCTCTCCATTACGGTTGTTGAATCTGGGGGGGGGGGGGGGGGGGGGGGAGGAGGCCCCCGACCGTCCGTCACGACCGTGGTCACGGCATCGCGCCCGTTCCCTGTGGTGACGAGCTCTGTCGTGCGGGCGAGAGCTAGCCCCATCGCCCTGGGCTCTCGTCCCTTTACAATTTTGACCGATAACCCCGCAGGGCAACTCCTCCAACAGCTTGGCGCCCCTCCCCCCCAAGCCCAAAACGCTGGCATCTGTTTTGTAGGATTATCTGCTCCTTGAAAAACCCCCAAAGGGTTTCCTCAATGCAGTCGAGGGGAGCTCAACCATCACGACCGGTCTTTCCCTGCGGCCCGGCGATATCGGAACGAACTGTCATGCACGTCGCCTTCCAGCGGGTCCCGGTCATCTCACGAGCTCCACTGCAGCGCTCGCACGTGGAGCCTGGTCCATGGGACCAACTCGACCGAGATTGCCGCGTGTCGCGGGACTCCTCTGCTAACCCCAGGGACCCCTCTGCTAACCCCAGCGTGATGCGTGGCCAGGCTGTCACGGCCTCGCGGCCGCTGCCACAGGGCCTGCGGCAGCAGCCACCGACCATTGGCCCCGGAGCGCTCCTTCGGAGGAGCCGTGGCATCGGGAAGCCCATGCCACGCTTCTCCCGGCCTCTTCTGGGCATGGTGGCCTCTCTCTCTCTCAGGCACCCCCGCTGTCATCTTACACGGCCGCGGATTTTTGGTACCAAATCCGGAGCCTCCGAATGCCCTGCCCTCGAGCTCCCGCGCCGGCAGAGCGCGACGCCGAACGTGCTCCTCGCCCCGTCGAGTGCAGCGAAAGCACAAGCACGGACCGCCGCGTTTGAGAGACGCTCCGCACTTCACGGTCCTCACTGCGAGCCCAGCCACCGTAGTGTATTCCGCCCAGCGGCAATGTTATTAATTAACCGTTTCTAATCATTTCAAATTTTACTTTTACGCGCCTAATGGCGCTGCGTTAGCCGCACTGACTGCGGGTAGTGCCCCTACTGAAAACATGGGATTAATTTCTAGATCCCAGCCTAGCCTACAGGGTGAAAACCCTGCCAAAAAAACACCAAGTGTTGCAGAAGCACCATAAAAAAAAACTCTGGGCACCGAGCCCAGAAAACTAATACACTGAGTGGAGATGGCGGACGGGTCACGTGATGCAGACAGAGTGGGAGCGGGGAGGGGGTAAGAATTATATAATTAAATGAATACGAATTTGGTTTCTGGGTGGCCGGCACGCGGATGAATGTTGGCGTGTGGTGGAGTCGGAGCGTGTCGGCGACCGCCGGACGAGCGGTGGTAATACGGCAAATTGGATGTTTACCTGTCCTAGGGATTGTTTTTGTGTTGCCCCTTTGTACGCACGGCGCTTTCTCCGGGCACTCGCGTCTCCTCTCAGGTGCAAAGTACTCAATAAAGGATTTTTGCCACGGCGTGTCGAGTCGAACCTTCTTGAATGCAAGTCTTGAGATTTCCTGGGCTGAGATCTGTCGTGACTCGTGTCAGCTGCAACCTTCTGTGGAAGGGTGACAATGCTGCAGCAACTACGGGGGGTTAGAACGAGAGTGAGACAGTGCTGCAGCGGCCGCAGCTGTAGGAGTTTAAGTGGCACAAAGTCTAATCATAATGGATGTGTCTTATATCGGCATGCATTGAGATTATTTAGATTCTTTTGGTGC